CAGAGATGCTGTTCATGTCCCTGCTGGTTAGGATTCTCTGACTCTAGAGTTCTGAAGCAGTATTGTCTCCAAAAAGACATGTGGGCTTGACCTCACTGGGCCTCAGTTTCTCCATTTATAAAATACGACTTAAGTCAGGGCAAGAGGGAGGAGATCAGACACACAGGAGCACCTCCATCAGAGTGGGTGGCCGATGGAGTGTCCTGTGGCCTTGTGGCCTTTGACCAGGACCCAGGTGGGACCTGGGGGAATCCAATAGCTCACATCTCCTGTGCGCCAAGTCCTTTGGCTTCTGGGTGGCTGGGGAGGGGTATGTGTGGCTGCTGAGCTTAAAACCTATGAAACCATGTGGATAGTTGAAGCATGGAGCATGCCTGGTAAGGAAGGGAGAAAGGAATTTGAGAAGCTTTTTTTAGTCTTTGGAGAAAAGTAACTTTAGGGAAGGCTCCAGTAGAGTTTTTAAATCTGAAAGGTATGGAAAATGTTTTACCTGTCCCAAGGTGAAAACAAAAGCAAATGGACTTGCTTAGCTACTGGGAGATTTAGGTCACTCTCAGGAAGATCTTAGATGCAAGGAAAAGGCAGCTGAGGATAGAAGTGTGGGAGGTGGGGGCGTGGGAAGTAAGCCTCAGAGAGCAGCATCTATCTGGTAATGAGGATAATTGTAGCTGTCACTTATGATGCATCCAGGTCTGCCTTGTGTTAGCTGCTGAGCTATATTATACTTTCTGAGCGTTGCATGAACATATATTGAGCACTTGCTCTGCTCCAGGCACTGTGCTAGATTCTGGGGCCACAGTGATGAGCAAAACCAGGTATTTTCCTCAGTGCCCTGAGTGGGGTTGGGGGTGAGTCAGAAATAAATCAAGCATGTAAAGGTATCATTACCAACTATATAAGTACTTTGAACACCAAGTTCAGGGTGCCATGAGAATGTGAAAACGGGCATATATTACAGAGTCTCAAGTGTTGGTGGAAGGCTCATTCGTTCATCTTGGGTTTTTAAATTTCCATTTACTGAGGAGGAAACTGGGGTTCAGAGAAGTTGAGACACTTGCTCAAAGTTGCACAGCAATTAATTGGGCATAATTTGGTTTCAGGTCTGTCTGACCCCAGAGGCTTTTCTCTCAACCAGTCAATTCTGGGAGCATCGTGGGCTATATGGCAACTTGATGGATGCTTACTCCGTATTATTTAATCTTCATGGACACCTGTGCAGTAGGGGTTATTATACCCAATGTATGGTTGAGGAGACAGAGGTTCAGAGGTTAATTAACTTGCCCAAGGTCACACAGGTCAGCTGGTGGTAGGGCAGGAATTTGAACCCAAGTTGTTGAACCCAAAAGCCTGTGAGTTTTCCACTCCATTCCATTGACACCTTTACAGACAAATGCCACAGAGGTAAAGGAGCCTGTACAGGGACAGCCAGCTGCAGGGACAGAGCAGGGCTGTATGTCAACTGCATACCCTCCACCGTATTGCCCTTTCTTTATTTAGTTTGTCACATGTGACTTTTGCTCTGCACTTAGAGCTGAGATGGTTGGGGTCCAGAGTCTGGTACCCATGTTCCTTGGAGAGACTTCATGTCTGTGGGCCTCAGGCTGCGAAAGGGCAGGAAGGCTCTTTTTGAGAAGGCCTGTGCTCAGGGGGAGGGAAAGAGGTGCCCATGGACCCTCTTCCCAAGTGAGGCCAGGAGGTGCTTTCCAAGAGGAGCCGACTGGTCGGCCTGTGCTGTTGCATCTCCACCGGCACATGGGTGCAGAGGGGACTAGCAGAGCCGTGCCCAGGGCCGGCCTGAGTCCCAGCCTGTGGGAGTAAAGGGCCATTGTCTGGGCAGCAGGATCTGGCAGGGTTATTCGGTGGGCACCACGCCCTGATGAACAGACTGACACCTCCCAGCCAGCTTGGCTGGTCACCAGAAGCCATTTTCTTTGTTACCAGGCGCTGGGCCAGAGGCCAGGATGAGCCACTGGGAGCTCTGGGAGACTGCTCCCTATGAAGATAATCCACAGTGCCCCACTGGAGGACTGGGGGCGAGGCGTGGGTAGGAAGGCCGTAGAGAAAGGAAGGACGCGTCCCAGTGCCGCTCTGCCCAACGGAAATAGAACAGGGGCCACATGCGTCACTAAGTTTTCTAGCAGCACATTGAGGAGGGTAAAAAGGGGCAAGTAAATGAATTTTAACAGGTGTTTTATTTAACCCAGCATTCTCAGAATAGCGTAAATTCAACATGTCATCAATAACCAGTTATTTGCAGGCCATTTTACATTCTCATTCTTGAAAACCCAGGTGGATTTCGCACAGCCCCATTTCCAGAGGGACCGGGTAGTTACAAGTTCTCCGTAGCCTCGTGTGGCCAGTGGCTGTCCCAGAGGTGATCTGGACAGAGCGTCACCTCCTCTGCCTCCGCCTCAGGGGGCAGGGGGATGGACCCCAGTCAGCGTCTGGCACTGGGGAGGCGGCAGCCCCGTTCCCCCCGGGCCTTGGCCCCGACCCGCTCTCTAGCCACGCAGGCTGCCGTGGGAAGAAAGGCTCTGAGGTGGGGGCTGGAAGGCCACGGGCTTGGGACAGAGTGGAGGAGAAGGGCCCTTAGGACCCAAGTCTGGAGAAAGGAGGTGACCCGGTGGCCTGCCCGCGCCAAGGCCGGCGAGCGGTGGGTGTGGGCCGAGGTGTGGCGAGCCTGGCGGGATCAGAAGCCCACAGGCCGGCATTGTCCGCCTGTCACACTTCCTTTGGCTTTATTGCCTTTGTCCAACACCCTATTGTCTGGTTTCCTTTTGTCCCCCTTTCAGCGCCGCTGCCTTTTATTTCCCAGCCTGCCTGGTTGTTTTCATTTCTTTTGTCTGAAGTTCCTGAGAGGAAGGTTTTATTTTCAGCGGTTTGATTAATTCACAGCTTGAGCCCGGGTTTGTTTGTTATGTAATTGCTGCCCTCGGCTTCAGGATAATACCCCTCCCCAGCCCCCTCCCGCCTCGGGCTCGGGCCTGCCCGCACCCCTCCCGCGCCCGGATGGGCCGGCCGCCCGCCTCCTGGATGCGCTCCGGGTCCCGGGGTGGCGGGAGGGCACCCCGAGCGGGACCCCAAAGCCCTGCTGAGCTGGGTTGGGGTCTCTTCTTTCTCCCGGGCTGGTGTTCCCAGGGTCAGGTCAGGTCCGCCCCTCCTCACCCTGCAGCGCGCTGTCCCGGGTCCCACACCAGCCCCAGGGCGCCCTGCCCTTTGAAAGTGGCAGGAGGTTCGGGGCTGATCTGTAGGATGGCACCAAGGCAAACACATCTTACTCTGCTGGAATGCTCTCTCACTTATTTAGCGTGCTGTATGTGGCACATTCTGGCATTTATTACAGGTTCCAGAGCAGTTAGTTGGACAGAGTAGATGCGCTGTACAAATACAGTGCACCTGCAGTTTCATTTAAGGGGTGTTTTACCACATCTGACTTTTGCCTTGCAGTGCCCTCCTAAAAAATTAATGCCATGTAAAAAAATTTATTTTTAAATTTTATTTAACAGTGCTTCTCAAACTGGTATGTTTCAGAGCCACCAGGAGGGCTTGTTAAGCCAGACCCCTGGCCCCACCCACAGAGATTCGGATTTGTGAGGGACCTAGGACTTTGCGTCTCAAGCCTCCAGGCCCAGCTGAGGCTGTTTTTCTTTTGCTACATCCCAGCTAGCTGTGGCTTAACAGATACCACACAGGTGCTTACTGCTGCTGCCTGGTAGCGTCCTAGACACTGTACAAATACCAATTCATAGCCCATTTTACAGATGAGGAAACTGAGGTGTGGAGAGGCTAAGTAACTCACCCAAGTTCACTCAGCGGCTCGTTGGGTGCCCAAGGCAGGACCCATGCATACTTGGGGAACTTGCTTTGTAACCCCACTGGCCTCATCTCGGTGACTTTGAAGGGTGAGCAGGGGAGCCATGGGGATCTGCCTCTCTGGCCCTGAGCCTGCCATGACCCCTGGAAACCACTACCCAGACCCCTGTGATCGCTCTGCTACTCTG